GAAGCCTCATTATTTTCTGTTAAATTTGGGATAGTCTCATTATTTTCCGTTAAACTTGGGTGTGTGCTGCGCATCACTTGGATGTCCTTGGTTGTGTTGAGCATCATTATTACCCCATTTCGGACACTATTTTTAGGCGACGGTGAGGTACTTTACTGACTAGGGACATGTCTCATCGTGTAGTTTTTTTCTGGGGGGAGGGATGGGTGGGGAGGGGGAGGGAGAGAGGAGGGAGAAGGAGGAAAAAATACATAAAAATAATGTATGATACAATAAATGTTATTTATTACCAAGAATACCAAGACTGCTCGGGCTAACTGTGTGCGAACTCCTTTTAATGATGATATTAAAATGCTCTCACACGCAGAGCGCAGCTATGTCATGTCCTTCGATCTTGGTCGCACAACAGAACAGGTTCAAGATCAAAGTGTTATCTATTAATCTTCAGCATCACTCGCAAATCTGATCATTTATTTCATAATAGTGCTTGGTATTTCCATTTTTTATCTTGACTTTTTACGCATTTTACAAATTTATGTAAATGCAAAAATGTATATTGACGAAAGACCATGTGTATATATATATATATACATATATATATGTATATATATATATATATATATATGTGCATGTGTTTGTATATATGTCTCTGTGTGTGTGTTCGCACTTGTTTTTAAGTATAAATTGATTTTAGAGTAACTCAGCTTTATGACTGTGGTGCTTGCGTTTACTTTTATTATGGATTCAATTATCGTGGTATCCGTGATCCACTGTTGTTATGTGATAGAATCGAGGTTTTTTTTTTTGTCTTTCTACGATTAAGGTTGTTTTCTGTTGTAATTTGATAAATTTGAGGTTGTTTTTTTTCCTCAGTTATTCCCCTTATCAGAGATGCTGGGTCTATTCTTCTTTCTGTGACTGTGCAAAATCAAATTGCAGAAAGCGGCTCGTGATGAAATAATTGCTTGTGGTGGAAGTATTTCACATCATCATGGAGTCGGAAAGCTGCGTAAGGAATGGTTGCCCGGTACAGTTGGTGAAACCGGATTATTAACTCTCAGGGCAATTAAGCAAAAACTCGATCCTACGGTACGTAAGGTTTTTGCTAGTTTTTCAGATTTTTAACTATTTTGGTTGTCTTCTGATTTGAGTTCAAGAGCAGTGTAACATGCTTAGCATGAAATCCTTATGAGGAGGAAAGCTTGTCTTCGAATTGGTGGGATCGGTAGAAATGATTAATTCAACAATACGTCAGTGTTTTTTTCTTGGGAATTTTTTGCAACTCATGACCGTCTCGGTTTACCTCCCCTCTGTTGTTGGACGGAGGCCTCTTCCGCAAGTGGAACTGAACTGGAAAAGAATCGAACTGTCTT